GGTTATATTTCACACCTCCCCCCTACCCCCTCCAGTAAACCTATCTTCTATTTGCACCATCGCTAGTCTTTGTTCTGCAATTAACATTGTAGAACAGAATACCAAACTAATTTAGGTGAACAAATGCAACACATTCACTATTATTCGAACGTGATGTGTTATTTGCTCATCCACTTCTATAGACTTCTTCCAGAATATATGTGCATTTTTTTCCAGTTAGGTTTGAAATGACGGCACTTCTATTCATGTATTATAACATGTACTCTTTATTCAGAAAATGTGCTATCTTAGTAGTTTGTACTACTTACATGTTACATCTAGTATGAGAGAGAGAGAGAGTGTGTGTATTGACACTTGGAACACCTCATCCCTTCCAAATAACAGCCGGGAAAATTAGTGTACCATAAATTAAGGGGTTTGTAGAATTCTTTTGTTAACAATCAGATTTCCTGTTTAAATAGAAAAGCAATTCTCAGGTAAAATTACAATTGTTCTACATATGTAGCATTCACCACTCTTTCTCTCCAGTAGTACCGCTGTGTATAGAAAATAGTATCGCCATATATAAAAAAGTATATAACATGTTCTATGATATTAAGATATACCATGAATAGATATATTCGCTCAAATCTCTACTATTAAAGTGGGGAATGGAATCCTTCATTTACAACACCCATTTCTTGTGAAAAAATAATCTCTAGTGAAAGTCAAGCAACAATCAATGAAGAATATATACCTAATTTAGGGTTTAATCTCCCAACTGAAAGAATTACCAGGACTACATTCAAATAGAAAAACTGTTAATGCAAGATAAATTTCAGCAATTAAATAAAGTTATGCACAAGTAACCAAATAGATAAATAACATCGTCCAACAAAAAACATAAAACGACCAGGTTGGCTTCTACCATATATAATTTCTCTCCACCCACTGCACAAAAACAAATTGGCGCCTACTATTTTCGGTCAACAACAATTAATTTGCTCTACCCAACTGTGTTTCGCTTGCAACAGCTACTAAATGTAGTTATACTGATCATAAACTTCGGAAACTTATATGGGATAAAGATGGCAATGTGAAGGCCAGAAATTCAGTATTGAATTAGATGAAACTTGCCACGCTCTCCAACATTTGTTAGCAGTATGCTTGAAATCCACGATCAAAATAGGAACGCAACACACCTGTTTACATGTTATTACTCTCTCTGTACATAAATATAAGTCGTTTTAGAGGCTTGTATGTTCAGTCTAAGACGTCATATATTTGTGTACAGAGGAAGTAGTTAGTAATAAGGTCGAGTGCTTCTTCCATGCATGACATAATACTGAGTTGTAAATAATGCTTCTTCTCAAGATGCAGTCTCATGATCTGCTTGATGTTTCCCAGGGATGACCAAATTGGTAGCGTGAGGATCCCAGTTACTCACAGAGGCGGGCAATGGCATGTACAGGGCTGAGCAGCACCGCTAGGCTCCAAGGGACTCATTCAACCAACATCTTCCTTCTGCACAACCACTGCAAGCGAAATATGAGCTCAAGTTGCTACCCAACTCATACAGATTTAAACCCAATTGATCAGTCAAAACGAAAAGTACAATCATCCGAGCATGAGGTATAGAGTAGAGCACCACGAAATCCTAGGTTACCTCTTCCAGCCGTCGTATACGAGCCCCTTTCCATCCTCCCGCGCACTCTTCTTCGGCACCCCAAGGCCGCTGCCGCTTTGGTCACCTCCCTCACCTCTCTGGCTCCCCTTACAACCTAAGCGGACGACGATGAGGAAAGGAAATAGAAATCAAATCTATTCAACCTATTGTAAACTCACTATAAAAGTATAAAAGAACATATGCCTTGTCTGGAAATTGCAACTATAATTATTAAAATAAATTTTCACGTACATAAACTAATCAGACCATTAGGCAGTTCATTTTGAGTGAACAGAACACCCTCCTTAAGCGATTAACAGTTTCTCATGATATCTATGGTATAATAGAATAAACAAACCAAAGAAAAGCTATATATGATTACTAAAATTGTTGTTTGCTATCAAGAAAAGTGATGGTGTTGCATCAAGATGATCTAAATGTAAATCAAATGGAGCTGAATTCTGAACCTGCTTCTCGCGGCTAGCTCGTCTAACAGTGGAATATGAGTAGCACATTTGTATGCACAACCGTATTGCAGTAGCTAAAGGGGCTTGTCCCCCTGTCCCTCATGTCATTAGCTATCAATAATCATTACCTAGTTAGCCATTTGTAGAACAAGGTAAACACAGAGAAAACGAGATGGATTAATTCATGATAGATGAGATGTATCCTCTTAGCATTACTCAAAAAAGGATACCTGATAGATGAGATGTATACTCTTAGAATTACTCGAAATCACCGAGTTCACTTTCACATACCTCAAGATCAGGTAGAACTTTATCTAATTATCGTCTACTCAAAAAGCATTTCAATTACTTGCAAAACCTGCCATCACCAAGACATCAACACTTGTAGCAATAGACATCATACATTACAATATATATCATCGGCTCATCTCATGTTGCCTAAATCTACATGGACCAATCAAATAATTGTAGCCATATGAAAGAAAAAACTGAAACAATTCAAAGAAAGGCAAAGAATCTTCAGGCTCTGTAGCAACAGTGGGATTGCTCTTATTTTCGACAAACTCCTTTTGTGTAGAAGCAGTCAATCATGTCTAAAAAAATCTGGAAACAACTAGCAGGCTAACAAATATGTAATTATTACTGCACATGACTGAATGCAAACTACAGTAAGGGGCATAACCTGTGAAGATGGCCATCCGTCCTTGTTGCTGCAATTGCATAACTCCAGATTTCATTTTTTATGTCATTAAGCAACTCAACGAACATGTGAAAAGCACACCTGCAGTAGGAAGATTCAGCAGCCACATGCAGCAAGTCAGGAGTCGTGTATGAGTAAATCAGAGAAAGGAGAAAAGATGAAATCCAGAACATAAGCGGGAACAGAAATTAGATCCTTTTCACATCAAATCAAGGCTAAAAACGTGTTGAAACATACCGTTGGGTGTCTAAGGCTTTATGTTTTCCAGATCAAAGAAGAAAACGATCTAGTTTTAAAGAGGAGAGTGATTAACCTACCTCCAATCATCAGGGGCGTGCAGATCTGAGTAGGGGGTCGATCCGGAGGAACCAGCATCCACCAAGCCCCGCCGCCTCAACAGGAGCTCCTCTCCCTGCCCTCCGGCCGGTCACCGGAGCCGCCGCCGCCGGCGACCGCCTCCCTCACCTTGTGCCCCTTATCCTCATTTCTTCCTATCTCCCTCATGCCCTGGTCTCTTAGCATCAGCAGGACACCGTCGCCACCGGAGCAAGACGCCGCACCCGCCGCCAGATCCATCGACGCCGCGCCCGGATGGCCGGCGCGGCACCAGATCGAGCGCCTGGCGGTTGGGATCGGGAGGCGAGGGAGAGGAGAGCCCGTTCTCGTGTGTGTTTCTGGTGGTTTTTTTCACTTTAAAAAGGACCGTGTGATGAATACAATAAACTATAAGGATTTATTTGTAAAATGTTTGAACGAAACGTTTTCTCACTTAAGAAAGGACTGCGGGTTGAATACTACAAAACAGAGGGGCTTTTTTGCCAAAGCGTCGACGACGTACGACCAGAAGCAGTAATTGCTTTATTAGTAGGGAAAGATATGATGTAAGGGAGTGAGGTGCTACAATTTTATAGGAAAAGAAATCATATTTCTACACGTGAGCATGATGTGGTTGAGTTGGTTGTCGTGTTCGAAACTGGTTGGGAGATTGGGAGTTCCATCACTGGAACTCTTGTAGTTTTTCTTTTGAGGTGAAAAAATATCACCATGGCGTCGAGGCCCAATAGCGGCACTGTGGCCCATACACCTATAACAACAACGTGTAAGGCCCAAAAACTGCGCAGAAACGAATCATTACTTTTGGACGGAAGAAAACTTATAATATGGATGAACCAAGCAAAAAATCATAGAAAAATACCTTTTTTTATTATTAGGTATAGATATAGATTTGATTCTTTGTACAGTTTTTTCTTCAAAAAGAATTAGTCCCAGTTAGCTGAAGCCAAAAATTGAGGAAACATCGTCAGAATACAAAGTAACTCCCCTCCCCGAAAAACCACTAAATGAGACATGTACTGTAGAAAATGGAAATCACGAAACATTAAATATTTTTATAAAAAATATTGTAACCAAATTCCTGAGTAAAAGTCAAGAAGTAAAGCCAACCTTGTTCCATCACCCCTCTCACTTCATATGATAATATTGACCGAATGTTTCTATCTATAAAGTATTTGTTTCTTTGCATTTGTACTCAATTAGTAAGTGGCGTGTGTCAATTACGAGCAGATAAATAAAAATACTATAGTGTAGTTTTGTTTGTCAAAATACATCATTAGATATTTATTTATTTTGGAATTCACATCGTTAAAATTTGTTTGGTTGATTCCGACGACAACTTCGAATAATCAACATCTATCAAGCAATATAATAGTAGTGTGTTATTTGGATTTTTTTTTCATATTTTCATACGTCACGAGACGTTACATAAGACCTTATATTTCAGTATAATTTTAAATTACTGAAGAAACTCCATAATAATAGTTACTCATATCAAGGCCTGATTTCCGTAAGCAGCATACGCAAACGCATACCCAGAAAAATAAAAACAACAACGAAAAAACCACCTCCCAAAACCAGAGGAAACCCTCTCGTGTTCCCCCTACCTCCCTTCCCCACTCCCCTCTCCTCGCCGGCGGCAAATTCAAGCTCAGGAGGTCGCAACTCGGTATTCACTTCTCCCCGCAAATCTCCGACCTGTAATCTGTCACCGCAATCCTCCAAATTCCTGATTACTTTCGAGATCCTTTTCCGATTGTTCTGGGCCCAGATTGTTTGAAGCGTAAATTTCTCTAGGGTTTCGGCGGGTCAGCGAAGGACCGGTCCTGACACGGGGTTAGGCGGAATCTTCGTGATGGCGGGCACGAAGGCGGATGCGAAGGCGGAGACCAGCGGCGGCGGCGGCTCTTTCAGCGAGAAGGGGCTTGCCGAGAAGCTAAATAAACTCAACAGCTCCGCGGCGAGCATCCAGAGTATCCTTGTTTCCATTGGTTAATTTCATGCGCACCTGCATATGATAGCCTAGCGTGTTCTTGTTAGTTGGATTGATGTGTTATTCGGCAAGTGAAGCCCTAAATTACAATGTGGATGACCCATGAGATCCCATTTGGAAAGATTTGGCTTATCCACCTTGTTTCTGCCTCACAGGATGCTTACTGCGAGTAGTTTGTTGGTGACCTGGTTCACACGAGTAGTCTGCTTCTTGTGGTTTCGCTAGTGACGCATAGAATATAATTGCATTGACATACTTTTCCGGAGCTTGTGGATTGTTCTCTTGGTTGATATATTTCTCACACTTCTATGAGGAAAATTAGTGTTGTTTTTGCTGCATTTTAGATGTATAATATGAGTCCATGGCAAAGTATTGATTTTGAATTTGTTTTGTGCCATATTGACTTTGCATCACAATTTAAGTTTGTATAATGTACTTGCGTTCTGACTGTTGATGCTTGGTTTCCTTGCTCTTCTGAGAGTCATAGCACAAAGTTGTTTCCATTATCTTTTGAGGGCATTACCCTTAGGGAATGGCAGATGATATGATGGCAAGAACTGTTAGGACTATATATTACAGCACAATACTATCTTATCATTTGTCTGGGCCTGTGGTAGTTGGGATATAATTTTTCTCATGCTCAATTCAGCGAATTTTGAGCATTTTGTTTGGAGGAAGAGTGAGCAGAACGAATTACATCACATCCTCTTTTACAGAACGAAACCAAGACATGCGTTTTTTACTTTTTAACTACGAAATTATTTTCTTCTGACTGTTGCTGTTGGGGTATTTGTATGTCTATACTCATATATTTTTGTGACTTTGTTAGTTTGAATGATCTTCATGGGGTCGCTATTCTGATGGTATTTCTTTTATTTATCACCAAGGTTGTATTTGCAAAGCAACTTAACTTTTGGACATCGTGACACTATCCTCATATTGAGCATTTAACCAGTTAGTTAGACCATATCACGCACTATCATCCCTTGAACTAACCACAAGTGACAACTACTGCTACAAAGGGAACTTAATGAGTTTTACGAAAGACGTAGACATTCATCATGTGGATGCCTTCCTATATTTACCATGAAAAGGGTAGCTTACATGTCTTTCTCGACGTCTTTGTGCTTTCATCTTATGGAAGGAAGTGTAGCCCTGAAAATTGTATGATACACTACATCATCTCAAACTTGTAACCAAATCTCGCGGAACTAATAAACAACTAAGTTTGCTAAGTTATTGTAAATTCCTACTTTTCTGTGTAATGTTGCTTTTTTTGGGGGGTCTGTGTGGGTGACCGGGTGTGGGCGTGGGTGTGTGTCCTAATTCTGCTTCTAGGTATGTAGTGTTCAAGAACATTAATTATCAAAGTAGAATAAGATGACTGGAAGCGTTAGGCCATTTTCTAATGGGAATCTACATTGGTTGGTCTGTTATCCAGATTAGAATGGGGCCTATGTAGTTTGTGACCAGCTAATTACCTACCTGTTCTGGTTTGCTATGTTTTTCATATGTGTACTTCTCCAAAGTATTGTGTTCCATTACTGTTCTGTGCACATCATATGGCGGTTACATTTGATTAATTGAAAGTACACCTCTTTTCGAACCGATATTTTTTTACTGGTAACTGTTATTATTTTCTGGGTGTGGATAATTCTCATTTTATCACGCTGTAATCAGTTTTGTGGTTTATTTAACTTTTGTACTTTTGATAAATCCTGTTTTTCTAGAGTATCAAATATTCAGATGACAGCTATAGATTTAAATTTGAGAATTTCTGCAGCATATTTTTTCCCCTTTCAGTCTATATTGCAGTAGCTGTCTTTTGTATTCCTGAACTCTTAAGTAGCACTTTCACATTGGTGTGTTTTTCACCGGAAGAGAGCCAGAAGAATTGTCGACACATGGGAGAAGCAGTTTAATAATGCAACAAAGGATAAGAAAGTGTCATTCCTGTATCTATCAAATGACATCCTGCAAAATAGCAAACGCAAGGGTGGAGAATTTGTGAATGAGTTTTGGAAGGTTCTTCCGGGATCACTTAAAGATGTTCATGATAACGGGGGAGAACATGGAAAGAAAGTGGTCGCAAGATTAGTAAGTTTTCTTTGTTTCATCATCACTCGCTTCGTTCCAAGTTATAAGGCGTATTTTGAGTTAGCACAAGGATCAATGAGTTTATGAAACTAAGAAAAACAGTGCAGAAAACTACCGAGTATCCAAGTATCCATACATTAATACATCTGAAATCATCGAAGTACTAGTAGGTGAGAGTACTTATAAATGCAAGTGGGCTAAGATGTCATAACTATGAGAAACAAGACAAAAACACCAGTAAATTCGCATGCACAACTTATATCATGGAACGAGATTGAACCTTTTATACTTCTTATAAAAAGAAACAATGTGAGTACACGTTTGATTTGTACTTTGGTGCTTTGTGCCTTTTCGCAAAACAGTGTAGGGATCTAAATCTGTTAGTGCTATCACAATACTAACACACCATATGATTGATCTATCATTCTTAGTTGATTTAACAAACTATTGGACGCATATAATTTTGCTATAACAACTACAAAGTCTTTAAGTCCCAAACAAGTTGGGGTAGGCTACAGTTGAAACCATAACGATCTCGAAACCTAGTCATGGTTTTGGAAACGTGGATAGCTAACTAAGAGGCACCCTTGTCCATGGCTAGTTCTTTGGTGATATTCCATGTCTCTCTTCACGGACTCCTCCCATGTCAGTTTGGTCTACCCCGACCTCTCTTGCCATCATCAGCATGCTTTAATCTTCCCAAACCATCTTAGACGATTTTGGACAAGCTTCTCAGTTGATGCTACCCCAACTCTATCACGCATATCATCATTTCAAACCCCATCCTTTCTTGTGTCTACACCTAACTGTTGGACATGTCACCTTTTAGCTTTCCTGGCACTCGTCACAGAGGACGCCAGAAGCTTGGCCCGCTTCATCCATTCGGTTTTGATATGATGGTTCACATCTTCATCATTTCACCATCCTTTTGCAACATCGATCCCAAATTTGAAAGGTGTCCTTGTGAGGTACCACCTGCCCATCAAGGCTAACCTCATCATGCCTAGTAGCAATGAAGCTTACTCAGTTTTAGGTCTACTAAGCCTAGAAGTAGTTAACTTTCTATTAACTCCCGTCTGACTATCATCGACTAGCACCACATCTTCTGCAAAGAGCATACACCATGGGATATCTCCTTGCATATCCCTTGTGACCTCATCCATCAGCGAAGTAAAAAGATAAGGGCTCAAACCTGACCCTTGGTGCGATCCAATTTTAATTGGATAGTCATCAGTGTCGCCATCACTTGTTTGAACACTTGTCACGACATTACCGTACATGTCCGTGATGAGGGTAAGGTACTATGTTCTGGTTTTGTGTTTCTCCAAGGCCCACCAAAAGACATTCCGCAATATCTTATCGTAGGCCTTCTCCAAGTCAATGAACATTGTATGTAGGTCCTTCTTTTGCTACATGTATCTCTCCATAAGTTGTCATACCAACAAAATAACTTCTATGGTCAACCTCCCAGGCATGAAACCAAATTGATTAGCTGTCATTCTTCTTAAGTGTTGCTCAATGACTCTCTCCCATAGCTTCATTCTATTGCTCACCAGCTTAATTCCATGGTAATTAGTACAACTTTCAATATCCCTTCTATTCTTGAAGATTGGTACTGATATACCCCGCCTCCATTTTTGGGGCATCTTGTTTGACCGAGAATGAGGTTCAAAAGCTTAGTTAGCCGTACTATTGCTATGTCTCCAAGGCATTTCACACCTCAATGGGGAGACAATTAGGGCCCATCCCCTCGGCTCCTTCTATCCTTTTTACATCATCGATCTCAGAGTCATGGATTCATTGTAGAAAACATCTGTTGGTATCATCGAAGGAGATGTCCAGCTCAATGGAAGAGCTCTCATTCTCTCGACTGAACATTTTGTCAAAGTACTCTAACCATCTATTCTTGATCTCCTCATCCTTCATCAAAAGTTGATCTGTTCCATCCTTGATGCCTTTGACTTGGTTGACATCCCTAGATGGCAGAGTCCTCGTTCTCTATACTGAACAATTTGTCAAAATACTCTGGCCATCTATTCTTGATCTCCTCATCCCTCATCAGAAGTTGATCTGTTCCATCCTTGATGCATTTGACTTGGTTGACATCCCTCGTCTTCCTCTATGCGATCTTGGCCACCTTATAGATTTCCCTTTCGCCTCCCTCGTGTTTAAATGCTAGTAGAGGTCGCCATAGCTCGCTTATCCCGCTAGACACACGCCCGAAAGCGGAAGTTAGCCACCACAAGCTTTTGTCGAGGGACAACATTCTCCAGGTATCACCTTACAATCTAGGCAAGCACGTGTATTTAATCTTCTCGAGAGGATGAGATCGATCTGGTTAGAGTGTTGACCACTGCTGAAAATCACCAGATGGAATTCTCTCTTCTTAAAATGGATGTTAGCTATGATCAAGTCGTAGGCTAAAGCAAAGCTTAAGACATCCTCTTCTTGACATCCCGTCGATCTTGGAGGATCTCCACCTAGCCGTAATTGGCCTGGACCCTGTAAATCCTAGGACTTGCCCCATATATAAGTGAGGCCTGGGGCTAGATCATCTAATCTTGATACACCTACGTGGTCCTTGGTGATTTCTCCATTCTACACCTCACCATAGCTCTCATATGAGGCTGCCACCACCAATAGATTCAAGCAGTAGGGTTTTACCTCCACCGTGAGGGCTTGGCACGGGTTGCTCTTAACCGAGGTCGAAATCCGTCTCCTCTTCTTGCGCTTGCGGTTTCCTTTGTGCCATGAGTGCTCAGAATCGTCTCTTCGCCTGGGGGAATCGGCCCTATCCGAGTTCTTGGCAGATGTGCACTTTCAAGCAGTGCGCATGTTCTCCTCGCTTGTGGCGTAGTCGTTTGGCGATGTCGATGAGCTCGCTCATGATCTTGATCCTTGATCTGGCCAGCTTATGCCTGTGGTGCTCGTCCTACACATCGAGCTTGAAAGCTTGGACGACCTGCTCGTCAGAGACCTCTTCTAGAGGGTTCCTCTTGAGCCACCATGATATGTACTGGTGGATCGTCTCTTTGTTTTCTTGGACGCGATTTTTGAGGTCATAGGGGTTGCTCGACCTCTGGTAAGTGCCCTCGAAGTTGGCCATGAATGCATCCTCGAAGTCTTGCCACTCGTAGATCGAGTTGGCTGGTAGGCTGTTCAGCTAGGCCCTCGTCCTGCCAGCGACGTAGCGAAGCGTGTTTAGCTCATCGCCATCGGCCATGTTAACGGCCGTGAGGTAGTCGGCCATCCAGTGATCCGGCTTGGCATTGCATGTATACTTGTGAATATTCCGCACTTGGAATTTGTTCAGGAATGGGTGCTCGAGGACCTCGTAGGTGAAGCATCAAGCATGGATGCAGCTAAAAGGCAAGCTGAGCTGAGCACCTCAGGGTTCCCTCTGTATTGGTGTGCTTTGTCGGCGCAGAGAGCTCGGATGGTATCCCACCCGTCCGGTTGTCGCCCTAGCTGGTCATGGATCATGATAGGTCGAACAGGGTGACGGTCGGCTTTCGCTCGAAGCGGTGCCTGTCTCCGGGCCTTTGCACGATTCTCGGGCTGACACCTGGCCTAACAGGTTCGAGCTTGCAGTTGTGAGTGTGGTTGGGCCACGAAGAACTGGCATCGATGCGTAGCTCGGAGGTGGTCGCCAGTCGGTTGCGGGATTGGCTGGCCATGCCATGTTGAACCACCGTCGCCCTGAGCATGGCTTTGGCGCCGTTGAACTGTTCAACCACTGGGTGATCTAGCTCGAGCTGGATGTTGTTAGCTAGATCTATAACCGCCATGAGGTCGCGATAGGCCATCACATCGTCGGGCTCCCCGTTTAGGTTAGAGGTATGAGCCTCCCGGGCTTGATTTGGCAAGATTACGGTCTCAGTGGCTGCTATGCGATTCGGCCGCTGATTTCAATTGAACTCTATGGTGGTTGCCCACCTGTCCTGTCTGGCAGCGAGGTGGCCGCACTCCCTCTATAAGCGGAGTTGTGCCTGCGCAAGGGTCTTGCGTTGGGCTTCACAGGCCTTCGCTTTCGCGCTTTCGTCGGGGATCGGTGTGTGCAAAGCCGCTAGCTCGCCTCCTGCCGCCTCGGGGTTGACCTTGTCCTTGCCAGCACCATGAATAAGATGTTCTGCTCCATGCCAAGTTCAAATGATTTCCTTTGTTCTTTTTTATCACTAAGTTTGATCCCCAAAGGTAGGTGAGGCATTCGTTCACTCCTTGCAGCGCGCCAGTACCCCTGCAGCTTGATCGTGACGGCACCACCACCGTCGTCTCCCAGTTTGTCGCCGCCCCTTGCCGGCCTCCTCCTGTGCTACAACGGCAACAAGGCTCGAGCTTCCCGTTGCTTCGGCGGCACAAAACCGGTGTCTCCACGAACTCGGGGGCTTCAGCGACGGTCATGGGTGAAGCCATCTCCGGGGCGGGAGTCGGGCTTTGGATACCTCATAGCGGGGGATGTCTGGCTAGTCGACTTCAGCCATAGGACGACGGGAGCCACCTCAATCACTCCTTCCACTGGCGTCGTTTTCGAGTTAGTGGTTGGATTGGCCTTGGGCGTTCTTGCTGGCGTCGAGCCCACGATCGGCTCTGTACCCTTCGTCGTCTCCATCGGGTTTACATTGGGCTTTAGATCCACCACGTCCTTGAGAGGCGACATGGTGCGCAATGGCGGAAGGTCCAAGACTTGGCCCTCCACGCCCAGTGTCATGGCCGGGGGAGTAGAGGAAGCCGATGCACCTTGCGTCGATGAGCCCGTCTCAGCCGGCCTGGTGAAAAATGTGCGGTGGGATTCGGCTGGTCGGCTCCCCTTCACTCAACCTCCTGGGCAGCCTGCAGGCAAATTGCTTTTGATGAGGACGAGACCGGGTCCAACCTAACTTATGAAAAAAGAATAAAGCTCGACAACTTACTTGCCCAACCACAACTCCTTGACGACACACATCTTCTTCCTTGGCGGTTGTGCGATGGTGGAGGAGCTCGGCATTGCTTCGCTTCGCTAGTGCTTCCAGTCGGCTTCCTCGAAGGTTGGTGTGTATGCTTGTGTCTGGGTTCGCAAATCAAACATCTCCGAGTTGCGGCTCCTCTTTGAGGTCTGCTGGGATATCAATGGGCCATCGTTGTCGCCGGCTTCCTCGTCGACCTCATCCTTGCCATCCTTGTTGATCTGGCTCCCCTCCAGATCGACGGCGGAATTTACCGGGCTCCTTGGCATGGACGACACAAGGAAAAATATAAGAAGCAGAGTCGGATTCAATTACTTACATTGGAAGGAGGATGCGTGCGCGAGTACGGCTCGACTCGGATGATTGTTGAAATGTCCTTCACCTTCACATTCACCACTAAGGCAGCCATCCTCTTGAGTGTAAGTTGGTCGTAGGGCTTCGCCATCGACTGGGTTGCGTCGTGTGGGCCCTCATACTCATACATGGGGTGAACCCATGCCTGAAGGGGTTGGATGCGCCTCTCCACCAAGTCACCAGGATTTGCTCCTCGGTGAGCCTGCCACATTTTAGGCGCATCACTTCCTGATGAAGCACTTCCACTTTAGGTGACTCGTCACTGGCTGAACCCAGGCCCCAAGATTGATGCCAAATAGGGGGCTTATCCAAGTATGGAGGCAACCCCGTCTGTCTGCCATGAGTCGACACGTCGGGGCAATGAAACCACCCCTATTCCACTTTATTCACGGAGTTGGGCAGCTTGAGCTTGAAGTAGGATCTAGGCTTCAGCTGAATGTCGGCTAAGCTGCAGTTCTTTTGCACCTTGACCCAGAAATGCCTTCGCCACAGGCCGAAATGGGGCCGGGTCCCCAGGAAACACTCACACATTGCAATGAAAGAGGCGATGTGGAGGATCAGGTTAGGCCTCACGTGATGAAGCTGGACGCTGTAGAAGAAAAGAAGCCCGCAGAAGGAACCGTAAAGCGCCAGGGATAAACCTCGTTGGACGGATGGCGTAAGAAGCACACGCTCGTTCGGCTGCGGCGCCGGCTTGACCTCCTCCTCTGTCGGTGCACGCCAATGGACTGCCGCCTGCCTCGGGAAGAAGCCATGGGTAATGAGTTTATCCAGCTGGTCCCATGTCACCAACGAGGGGATCCATTTCCCCTTAGTGGCGTTGGCTATGGGATGGTTCTTGCCTCGGGCGCCACCTCTTCTCCGATTCGCTTCAACACGCACCATTAGGCGTTACTAGTTTTGGTTTGTCCGAGAGTTAGGGAAGGGAAAGAAGATCTGCGCGTGGAGCTCTGTCTACGATGGCGGGGCAAGCACACGAGGAAGATGAAGATTGGCGAGCGCAGGGAAAGTGTCCGCTTGTCGTTGCGCCCCCTGCATTTTCTAGCCCCAAAGGAAACCCAAACGGTGCCCCACGCGCAGGACACGTTGCCACGTTTTCGTTGTGAAACCACCCGTCACGCCCACGGGCCGAGCGAATTGCGAGACGTGATGATGGCGGTACATGAATCTAGGATCCTAATGTACAATCCCCTCATTCAATGCGTCGGACGACGAGACCTGACTTCGCCGGGGCTCGCGCCACGCGCTTGACCAGATCGGACCGATTCAAGTCAAGCAGATTTAGTGGGTCTTCACTCGGGGACCGAGCTGAACCAGGCCTGGCCTCGGTCAGACATACGTTGCCATGACCTCACCCAAGATTCTTGATGCTTCGCGGCACCACCGGAGTTGGCCTTCTGATGTTGGCCCCTTGCGTCATCATGATAAGGCAAGGGATTCTCGTTTGTCCGCACCCGGCAGGGCTCACTGCTCAAGCCCATTAGTTTGCGGTGCAGGATCTGTTTTCTCTTCCAGGATTTCTCGGTAGTACCTCAAGACCTCTCCAAACAGTACAAGACGGCGTGCTCAGTTCAATTTTGACTTGGACGCAGCCGAGCTCATGACGTACTCGGGGGCTACTCACGGTGCCATCCCAGGAGCCACTACTCTGCTGTCGGCCTCATCAGGACACATCTATCTACTTGGTGCCCAAGGAAGGCATCCCAGGGATCTCGGAGGATCTCCACCCGGTCATAACTGACCTGGAGCCTTGTAAACCGTAGGCCTTGTCCCCTAAGTGACGCCTAGGGCTAGATCATAGATTCCTTAGCGATCTCTCCATTGTACACTACACCATAGCTCTCATACTAGGCTACCACCATCAATACAATCAAGCAGGATTAGGGTTTTACCTGCACCGTGAGGGCATGAACTTGGGTAACTTCCTCGTGTGACTCTATTCTAGCCTTCCAGCTACGCGTGACATCCCATCGAGATTACTGCTGGTATTATGATCCGAGAATTCATGCTGCCATAACCAAAGCTGCCATGCACCCCTTCAAAACCTGTGTTAGATGTACCCACGTGGCCATTGAGGTCTCCTTCTATGACGAGCTTCTCGCCGATAGGTACACTCCTAACCATGTCCTTTAGGTCTCCCCAAAACTCCCGCTTGGTGCTGCTCTCATGGTGGCCTACTTGAGGGGCATACACCCTGATAACATTGAGAACTAAGTCCTCAATGACTGCTTGATCAAGATAAATGTGCCCCCCTTACCTCTTGACGTCTACCACTCCATACTTGACTCTTGTTGATCAAGGCACCTACTCCATTTTTGTTTGCACTGTCCCCGTGTACCACAGCTTGAAGCGGGTATCCTCCACCTCTTTCGCCTTCTGCCCCTTCCATTTGGTTTCTTGGACACATAGGATATCAACACCTCTCCTCGCCGCTGTATCAACTAACTCCCATAACTCGTCAGGGAGACAGGGACCCTATGTTCTAGCTACCTAAGCAGATCCTACTTGGCTCGGCTAGCTTCCCTTCGCATTCGTCGAGTCAGCTGCGATGATCCTTGCTCATTTTTCATTGCACACGGTCGATGATGTAGCGCACCACCACTTATCACCGTATCCAGATCAAGATACGGCGCGCCACAAGGGGGTGACAGCCCAGCCCTTGCCCATCTAATACCACTCCTAGGTTCAGATATGCCGCGTCGCTAAGGGTCATGCCCCAACGATTTTCTTTTGGGTTTCATCTCCATAAGAGTGGCTGAGTTTTGACGTTGGCTCGCCAAGTCTATCACAACCCTCCTCCTTTACCTGGGCTTGGGATCAGCTATGTTCAGACTACATAGGTGGAGTTACGCATATTCTGTTGCTGCTCTAGGTTATTCAGCTATCCAGTTCTTGCCCTGTTATATTATTCTCCAGATTCCAGATATTTTTGTCGGTGTCTTTTGAAGGTATGGTCATACATTCATGCACAGTGTGCATTTACATTACATGTACAGAGATTGAGGGATGAACCGTACAAGAGTAGGTACCAATTAGGAAAGTGAACGTATCCGTAGGCTGTTGTTTTCTATCTTTTCCTTTTTTTCTCTCCAAAAATCACTGGTTTAGCAATTGCATTATTATGTTTCTCTCCAAAAGAACTGCTGGTCTTGGTAGTGAGCAACCAGAAGCAGCGACTTAAAATTTTCTTCCACTGTCATTCCTTAGGCATGCAAATATTTGCATGGGCCCCTCTATCGGAGTTGCTACAACATGTAGCATTGTTTTTAAGGCGCCCCGCGTTAGGTGCTTAGGCCTCAGGCTGGTGGCTGCTCTCCTTAGGTCGCCTTACCGCCTTAAGAACAATGCCCTGTAGTAAATAGTAAATACTAGCTGTATGAATCTGCCTGATTATAGTCATCATCTGCACTGATAGGAACCACATTGTATTATGAGTTTTTGCCAATTGATGCAGGAGTACAAATGGTGAATCTAATGATTTACTTTACTGTTTGATCGTAAAGGCCAAAATCCAAAAAATAAAGTGTAATCTTGTTTCTATAAACTACAGATAGGGATTTGGGATGAGCGGAAGGTTTTTGGAACCCGTATTGAGAGCCTAAAAGTTGACATCCTTGGTGAGAACCCTCCTACATTGGATAACAACGATAATGGTTCAAATCCTAGCCCTAATCCCTCTTCAGATCCCAAAGCTGCTCGGAAGGATTCCAGTACATATATAAAAGTATGTTCCTACTTCTTGTCTGTGCCATTCTCCCTATGGGTTTCATAAATTGGAATGAATTTGGGAAAGCTCTCCTTGTTTGCCTTTTTGCTGTAGGAACTGACTGTTTCCGGGATGCCTGAAAAGATTGCGACTGCATATCAGTCTGTAGTTGATCAGTATTTTGATGAGGACGCATCTTTAAACAAATGTAAGACTACTGTTAATGTTTTGGAGAAGATGGACAAAGATGTAGATAATGCTTGTACCCATGGTAAGGATTTTGCTTGCTTCACTACTATAATGTTATAGACATCTGCAACTTCCTTTGTAGAATGTTTGGCACTATTCTCCTATCTTAGCCTGTGTTGTGTCATGGTTGTTCAAAAACTATTTTACATCCAGTTCCATGATGTACTATAAGTATTTGGGTGGTAGTGTTAAGGAAACTAGATGATACCCTGCAATATAAGAGTTGGCAGTATACAACGTGAATATTGGAGTAATAATATGAGAACTAAAACTGTAAATATACATGATTTATTGTGTTTGATCATTATATAGTTAAAATATTTATAAATATAAATAACATAATACTCCCCCCCGATCCATAGTAATAATATGACAATTAATATGGATCGGAAGGAGTAGAATGGAAATTCTCCTGCATGTTGAGGTGGATTTTTTCCTATGCATGGTTGCATGTTGAGGTGGCCTTTTCCCATGCATATTACAAGTTGAGGTGGCATGTTTGCATGTTGAGAGAAATAGGTTGCATGTTTGCATGTTGAGGTGGATTTCTTGCCATGCATGGTTGCATGTTGAGGTGGACCCTTTTCCATGCATGTTATGTTACATGGTGAGGTGGCATGCTTGCATGTTGAGAGAAATAGGTTAGTGGGGGCTAGCTATTTAGATATAGAAGATAGAAGATGCCAGTGAAGAATCCTTCTGTTTTTGAATGTGAACACTATCATATTGGTACATGGTACTATTGTTTCTAGAACATAATCTTTCAGTCAAGCTAAACAACAGTACCCAATTTGTCTTTGAAATGGAGAAAATTATAATGATCTAACTCCTCTGAGCTCAAGTAATGGTACAAGATTAGACCAATATCTTAAACACAACAGTAATCCAACTTGCAAATGGTTTCTCTGTTCACTAACTATGATTTGTTACTTTGTTAGGTAGATGCTATGGGATTTACTGCATATCTTCATCTAATTCATACATGTTATATGAGTTATGGTGTTGTACTTGTGTGTGTGCGAGTACGCACACTTTTGTTTTTGTTTCTTGGGGATTGTTGTAACTTCCAAAATATTAATAGCATGCTCCAATGTGCATGTCATGTTCACTGTCATGTTTGCATAACATTCTAGACTAAGTGGTTATAAAATGCATTAAGCACTGGTGACAGAAAATCGATTGATAGAGAATCATTTGATTATGCACTGTAATTGTTTATAAACGTGATTGTATCATGGTTTAGACACAATGCATGGAAGAAAACAGTTTTCTTCATGCACAGCATCTGTTCTTTTAAAGTGGCGGTTCATGCGTCGCTATTGTTTTTCGTATAGCACATCTGGCTGCTTAGTACATTGTTTTGCATGTGCTAATTCCTCTTTGGTGTCAACTGCGACACAATTATAGTTCTGTACGCCGATATCAATTATATTTTTTTTCTTGAGGTTTAGAGTGAAATATACTAGTATAATGGAAGGTTTCCTATTAAATGCTCCTCGCTGTGGAGTTTTTGGTCTTGCTCACTTGTTATAATCTGAAGCCTGAAGTAAAGTAATGGATATGAAAATATATAATGCTCTTACATTGTAAGACTTACATTTATTCTCTTGATCATAATCGATAAGAATATGTAGTGATAATAATTGATTCATTCTTTCCCTAGGTATTCCTCAAGCATCATCATTGGTCTCTGACCTTCAAGAGCAGGAAGCAGTCCTCAAGAAGTGCATTGAGCAACTTGAAAGTGTCGACAGAGCTAGGATAAACCTGATTAATCAACTAAAAGTAGCTCTCAGTGAACAGGTCTTCAGCACCTTTTTCTTCTTCCAAATGTTTTACCCTGATAGCATCATATTGTCTTGCTTACAATAGGAAAAAACCTTAGCAAAGTGGATGCTTCTACTATCTCAGCTACTGTGTGCATTGTTAACTGTGCACATTCTCTCACCTCTGTTACAATAAAGTATGGCGGGGGAATGTACACAAATCTCAGGGCATATCAATAGTTGCGGTAGTGGAAGAACCCATTCATACAAGCACAAAATCCTTCTTTGGCTTGCAATTTACAGAGCTTTTATGTTTTTTTTGTTATATAATAGGAAGGAAAGTCGGAGCTTCTTCGCACTCAGTTGCAAGTAAGGATTTTTCGCTGATATCATCTTACATGTTATTGTCATATTCATTACTACGTTGATATTCCTGCAAAATCATGTAGAAAGCCAAATCTGCTGATTTTTGGTACTGATTAGAAGTAATTTGTTTGGTTAAACTCCAAGATTGTGTTGTGCGTTTTCTTGGATCGGTTAGCTTCCTTGTTATGAACCTATGATACATGTTTGCCTTGTGCTAGCTGTTCTGTCCATGTTGCGTAGATCTGGGTACCATTCTTGAAGCTTGATGATATCTATGATGCCCCATGGCAGGCAAGGCATAGCTAGAGTTTTTCTTGGTCATTGACATCTCTTGGTGAAGTTGTATCCGCATGTTCAAGATGAATGTAGCCATGTAAAAACATGCAGATACATATCACATGAATGCATTGCTCAAGCTCTCTAATAGGATGTGAAGTAACTGAAGTACTTGTGGTATAATTCAGCTTGGATGAAAGGTAGTAGGCCAACCAAGGTCTGCTTGGCTAGTGAGCACACAGGTCCAGCGACCAGTTTAGCATCCCACCTTCAAGCACTCTTCTGTCTCTTATTTACTCCTGTTACCATCCCTGGGGTCCACTTTACCCCAGCCCCCTGAATTTGTCCTAGAGTTCATATTATAACCTTGAACTTTGATTTTGGTTCAGAATACCTCCCTCAAACTCTCAAAACTGTCTAGAACACACCCCTCCCACGAATTGGCTGGTTCAAACCCGGTTTTGCATTTCGTGTGTCTGGGGCACGAAATCCCAGCTCTGCAAATTTGCACCACCGCCCGTTCCGCTCTGCTGTTTTCAGATCCTGGAGCCTGACTGTTCGTGCGCTCCAGTTGCAGAGTTGGGTTACTATGATGTATCTTGTTATATCTGCTTCGAGAGAATTCAATTGTACAACACCTTGGGTAGTCTGATATGTATAAGGTTGTGTCCGTCTACGGTGCCCCCAGTCGAGGTAGCCATTGGATATATCTGTGCGATTGTATGTGCTGATTGAATGATGTGACCATGGTTGATGGCCCCATGCATATATGTGTTGTTACCAATTGCAGCTTCTTATGAAGCTAATAAGCTCGTATCAGAAAGTTCAGAGGTGGAGAACCTAGACCAATACTAATACTAATAATGCTACCTCCGTCCGGGTTTAAAGGTCCGGCTAGCCACGAAGCGTCGTCCACTTTTACATGGTCTTAGCAGCCTTGGTACTTGCATGCATAGTTTAGTGCTGTTCTTTCATTGGTCGCATGAAAAGCAGAGAGAGAGAGAGAGAGAGAGAGAGAGAGAGCGCTGGGCCCTAGCTGCAACAGAAGGCTTAATTGTTCTGTAGCCATCAATTTTGTAAGGAGCTGCACCGTGCCTTTATCCTTAACACCCCC